AGTAGTTAATATTTGCTTTAAAGATTTTTGCGTTAAAAAACGCAAACCTACTTAAAGAAATATTATCGTTATTAGGTAAAGATGATGAACTCAACGCTTGTAATGGATGGAGTGAAACTTCAAATGGATGACGACTTGTTCGATTGTATGTGGAACGCTATGAAGGAAAATAAAATGCCTGATTTTAACAGAATGAAGAAGAACGCTACAAACGAGAGGTTGAACGCCAAATATAAAGAAGAAGGGTATTTTAAGGAATACTACAAAAATAAAAACAGTTGTTATGAGTGTGAGAGGTGTGGGAAGAAGATAAGCAGTAAAACAAATAAAGCCAAGCATCAGAATACAGCGAGATGTCAGGAAATTTATGAAAACAATAAGCAAAAAGAATTAGAGGACAAAATCGTTAAAAAGGTATTGTTATGGAATTACTATTATTTAAGTTTCTAAATAATATTAATTAGCATATTTCAGATGTTTTTGTGATTGTTTATGTCTATTCATTTTATGTTTATGCACTATTGAGCCACATTCACATTTAATATGGTTTGGTAATTCATTGTTTATATGTTTCAAATATCTTCGGTGTAGTTCTGATTTCTTATGTTCGTTCATCCAGCTTCGTGATATTAAAGCGCCACATTCGCATTCAATAACTTCTGACAGATGGTCTTTTTTCTCTTCATAATATCTCCTTTTGTTTTCCGATATATTCTCTTTATGAGTAGCATTGTAGTTTTTACAATATTCACGCCGATATTCCTGATTATCTTGTAGGTATTCTTGTCTTGTTCTTCCTTCAACCCTTTTATTAACACAATCATTTACCTTTATTACTTCACCCTCTCTTCTTCTTAATTCTTCTCTTGTTTGACAAGGGTAATATTCAATCAATTCTATTTTACAATTTTCCACACCATATTCATCAAACATATTATACAATGTGTTTCTTGCTGTCGTTTCTGGATTTCTGTTGTAGCTGTCATAGCTTCCACGGTGTCTTGTCATTCTTTTACAAAGACTTTCACAAGTTGAACCGATATAGCACTTATTATAACCAACATCCACGACCTTATAAATGGCACCATTTCCATACCTGTTTTCGTCCGTATTTACCCATTTAACAATAATAGCATATCTTTAAAGGTTTTTTATAGAGTATAATATATGAATAAAGAACAAGTTTTAAGCGAACTATATTATGATATTCAATCAGGTTTTGGTAGTGCTAAGCAGTTATATAACGATGCAAGAAAGGCGGGAATAGTAATAACACTGAATGAAGTTCAGGAATGGTTAAGAGGTCAGACATTGAAACAGCGTAAAAACTATAAAAACTTTAATAGTTATTCACCTCCATTTGCGCGGTCAGTATATAGTGTAGATTTAAATGAATGTGATTAGTTTAATGAAAGATACTAAAACATATAAAGAGGAATACCCAATGTATGGTTTTGTTTGCATTGATAATTTTAGTAAAAAATGTCACACAGTAGTTATGAAGAACAAAGATACAGACCCCGTGTATGATGCCTTTATGGAATGTTGTAAAGTAATGGGACAACCTCAATCAGTATATAGCGATGATGAAGGTAGTTTTAATTCAAATAAATTACAAAAATATTTTAAAGACGAAGGCATAACACATAAAATAACATTGACGCACGCGAATGTGGCTGAGAGAATGATAAGAACATTAAAGAAAATGATAAGTGATAGATTACAAATACATAAGGGTTCTTGGACGATAATGTTGAAACCGGTTTTAGATAAGTATAATAGCAAGATGATACATAGCACTACTGGGCTCACTCCTAATGAAGCGCACAAAGACGAGAATTCTATTGAAGTAAAAGCGAGTTCTGTAATGAAAAGAAAAAATTTGAGAAATTATCCCAGTATTGAAGCTGGGGATGATGTTAGAGTTTTTGTTAAAGGTAAAGGCAATTATACAAGCAGGAAAGAAAGCCGAAGTAATTGGAGTGAGAAAGTGTATCAAGTGAAAGAAGTTAAAAGAGATATGCAACTGAATAAATATTATGTTATTGAAGGGCTTACAAAACAATATATGAGACACGAGCTATTGTTAGTAAATAAGTAAAACTACTTAAAGACAAAAAGCTTTAGAATAGTAGAAAATGACTGACAGAATTAAGGAGCAGGAGGATGAGATTAATAGATATGAAGAAGAACTGGAAGAATTGAATAAGGACATTGATTATTATAACAACAAAATAATCAGATATAATAAACAGTTGGTTTATGAAGAAGAAGAAAAGGGAAACACTTTAGACATAATTAGTAAAGTAAGGTTATTATCAATGGTTCATTGTGATATGGCGAAAAAATTAACAGATAAGAGTATAAAACTACAATGTATTCAAAATTGTAAAAAAGCCATTGAAAGCCTGAGAGCACACTAACTATCATACTATACACATAATATGATGGTTAAACTACTTAAAGATTTATTGTCTTAAAGTAGTAAGGATATGACTATCTTTGACTATAGCAAGTGTTGTGAGTGTAAGAATATGAGAACGCAACAGAATAAGGAAACTTTGAATAAAATATTACCTGAAACAATAGCTGATGTTATACAATCTTTTAACTGTTGTAGTAGTTGTGACCGCCTTATAAACTTAGAGGATAATTACCCATTTCACGAAACTGAGAAAGATGAACTAACAACTTTTGAAAAACAACTCTTTATATTAAAAGAAATAGATAATATTGATGTATATTTTTGGGCTGAAAGCGAACAAACAAAAAGACAAAAATTATTAAAAATGTTTAAGTTTAGTAATAATCCATACAAGAAGGTAATTATATCTTTCATTAAAAACAAGCGAACAAGGTTTTTTGATAAATTTGATACACTTATAGATTTTCTTCACAATAAAAAGTTAATGCGTAGAATTACATATAGAGAAACATATTAATACTAAATTACAGTTATTATAATAAAACATATCTTGATAAAGTGTTATTCAAACATATTATTTATGAGTTTCTTATAAATTTCATTGGTATAGATATTAAATATTTAAATCTTGATGAGTTGCAAGAACATTTAAATGAAATATTTGATAGAGAACAGGATTAATGTTATAATGATAAATAATTACTAACCATCATATTATTGTATAATATGATTGTTGTATGGAGTTTGTTGTAACCCTATGAAAACTACTTAAAGACTAAACGCCTTAAAGTATTATTAGAATGAGTGATACTGAAAGCGTTGTTACAATAGGTTACAACATTGAAAAAGAAATTGAGTATGGAAGAAAATTAATAAATGATGACATTAAGAATTGTAAGAACTGTAAATTAATAAATTATCAACTGAGGAATAGTTTTAATGTCTTTACTGAGGGTTTAAATAATAATATCTTTTCATATATTGGTTGTTCTAATTGTGTTGATAGAATGCATTATTTAGAGTATGATGTTTCTGTTCTTGTATATGGTTTGGTTGGTAATAATGAATATCCTGAACATAGAGATATAATATTAAATGTGCTGAGCGGTTTTAACACTAATTTTCATATCAAAAATATTTATTGTAATGTTTATAAGGATGATGTTTATATTTATGAATATGATTTTTACGCTAAATACACTGAATTGTATGATAAAGAAATACACAATAAATTTGAAGAAGTTTATAACCATTACTTTATTGAAGGTAAGATGAAAGTCGTTAAGACATTCGTTAATTGAAAAATATAATGTTGAATATTATGATGTTGATTTAAATGAGTTTTTGCATCATTACCTACTAATATTTTCTATGATTATTACATATTTAAATAAAAGACTTGTCTTTAATGATTTAATGGAATGGTTAGAATTCAATATTATGTAAATAATGTGAAGACTAAACAAATATTTATAATATTAATTTATTATAAATCTTTGGTAAAACGCTTGAGGGGGACAAGCCTTAGAAAACAGAAGAGACGATATGATGAATTATGAAACGAAGAAGGGGGACATAATGAAGAATGGAAAAAATGAAAAGAAAACTACTTCAAGATTTGGAGGGTGAGAAAACGAAGCAGGTGACGATGTTGATGATGAGGTAAATGATAGAACGAAGGAGGGGAACAAAACAATGAAAACGAATGAGGTATGAATAATGATAAGAATGAAGAAGGAGGAGAGATAAGAGAATGGATAAGGGGCGGAATATGGTATGATACAGTCCCCAGAACCCGCCGTGATACACCCTGAGCCCCAGACCTTACACACCCCCTTTCTACAATTTTTGGGGGGACCCACCGGGGCGCAACCATACCGTACATGCCCTCGCAGCTGGAGGCTTCTCTGCAGGCTTGTTTCACTGAATCTGTCGCGGCCTCGTCGACAGGCAGTCTAGCCCGTTTTGGCTACCCTTGGCACTGGACTAAGGCTTGCGACACTGGTGAATAGCCAGTAGCAGTGAGCAGGTACACTGGCAGTGGCCAGGTCATCAGTCCTACAGTGTAACCGGTATCTTCTAGCGGTCATGGCCATAGAGTCTGTCACACCCCATCGTATCAATCTTTATCGAATTCAACAAGGCGTTGGGCAGCACAAGTCCAGCCATCCGTTGCTTGACGAATCAATTTGGCCGTCGGCTCGCTCTTGGCCTGCAGAAATGAAGTCAGCAAGGAATCGCCTTGCGACGGCGGATGCTGGTGCTGTTCTATCGTGCATGGGCCGGCGGCGGAATGCAGCTGTTTGGCTTCTTGAGCTGCAGAACACTGCCACGATGGCCGAGACAACACCCATACTAGCTGCAGATCGGTATGCTGCACTCCGCTTCATCCAAACAAGCCGCACTAGATTGCGAAAATGCAAAGAAGAGTGCACAGAGGACATTACACAACAGCAGGACCAACAAATACTGGCATCTGCAAACATCTGCCTTCCGAGGCATAGTTCGCTTCTCAAGACTGGGACGTGATTTAAGGGGAGAGCTGGTGTGCTCTTGGCAATCCGCCCAGGCTGCCATGACGAAATCACGTGTAGGGCATGGGCCTGAGTACGGTTCGGGGCTGTAGAGGAGTCTTCCCGCAAACCTCGCGCTTGAGGCGGCGGCCTGATGGTCCGGAGGATGCGAATCCCATGAACCGTCGGCTGCCTGCGGAGGCATGTGCCAACCACAGTGAGGCTGTCGCTTGGCGCAATGCGCTGACAGGTTGTGAGCAGACGAAAAGGCAACGAGCAGAGAGCACCCTTGCGGAAATCAGCAGCTGCACAGCCGAGTCGTCTTGCAGCGCCTCTCAAGTCTGACTCAGTAACGTTGCCAGGTAGGGCCTGGAAAGGGGACGAAGGAGGAAGCAGCTCCAAGCAACGTCTCAACTGATCTGAAGCAGGCCGCAGAGTCTATGCTTGTCGTGGTCGCCGTAGGTGCAATAAAGGTCACAGCTTAACTGTTGACTCATCAAAGGTTCTGGGCATGAAGCCTGATGCCCGCGTAAAGTGGTTGGCAAGAGCTGTGCAACAAGCACATCCGCAGGCAAGCCTTGCAAGCGTCAGCAGATGCTTGAAGTTCATGCTGAGCTTGGTGCTTTGCATTCCAGAAACTCAGGACGGTCGTTTGGCGCCCAAGACGATCTATGATATCATTGCGCATGCCAAATTTGCCAACGATGTAAGCGAGAAGGCAGGCCAGCGCATGTACTGAACTCAGTTTCTGGGGCAGTGGAGACTGAAGAGAAATTTTGGCTGAAGCGACAGTTGAGAGGGTTTCGGCGCAAGGGCAACTAGTCGGAACACGCCAGGCAGGCTGTGTGTGTTTGCAGATCTGACCACATTGAGAACATGTCTGAGAACCATGGAGGCCCTCCCACAAATCACAGACTGCTCAGGGCTCTCACGCTTCGAAGCACGAAACTGAACACACACGCAAGCACTCGGCTACATTCGATCTTCAGCTTGATCCTTCCCTAAGCAGAGGCCAAGGAACCGCACTGCGTTGCTTTGATCAGCCCACGAAGGTATCGCGTGGTCCACGCCAACCTGTCGCTCTTCTCGACCCGGCAGCAGAAGTTTCTCGAGAAGGAGTGCGCGCTGGCAAAGCAGCAGCCTGTTCGCAGCGGAATGTAGAATCGCAGCGTGCCTCTGCATCGTATGCCCGCCAGCATCGCCGGGGCTGTGCAGAATGTGGGTGTGGCTGGTGTGGCATGCGGCGGTTGGGTGGGGGGTTTTGTGGATGGGATGCGGAGATCCCCTCACTTGCTTCCTCTGTGGCTATGGCCTGTTTCCATCCGGCCCTGTCCGGTCAGGTTCGCTGCCTCGGCTTTTGCCGCAGCTCAAGCAGAAGACGAGGCTCCATCGAAGTCGAAGTGAGAGAGTGCTGCCATTGTTGGCGAGCCCTTGGAGCCCTTCGGGCACACTCTTTGGGTTTTGAAAGGCGACAGTGGGTGTGTCTTCGGTCTTCCAGAGTGCTGGTTTGTTACCGTTAGTTCAACCTTTGTCGAGCATTGGCACCGGGTCACTAGCTCATCATCTAATGGTTCGTAAATCCGGTCCTGCGTGTCAGTCCTCAGGACAAGGCTGCTGCTACCATGGAGGCCGACAGCTGACTGTAGAAGACTCTTACTAGACCTTGTGTGCGAAAGGCATGCAATGTGCTTCTGGGTCTTTCGCCATGGAGTGTCTGTGAGGACATGATGGCTCGCTGCCGTGCATTCGTGCGGGTTCGCCGGCTTGTCTTGGAGCGAAAACATTCTCTTGTCAAAGTCTCACAGTCTCGAACCCTTCTGCTGATGGGAGGAACGGCAAAGCGAAAGGGGAGAGAGAAATGACAAAGAAGGCAGGTTGAAGTGAATACTCGCTTGTCACCGCACCGAATTTGAATTCAAAGTCCAGCCCAGGTAACGAAGAAGGTGAGCAGGCTTGGTTCCGTACCACAAGCTCCTACGATCCCTGCCCGCTTCTGTCCATTTCTAAACCTAAATGCCCTAAGTCCCCATAGTCATGCCTTGAATGATGGCCACCATCAAGTCCCGAGTCTCGAACATCCAGTCAGAGAAACGGTGAGGGAGCATCATCTTTCTCTTTCGTTTGTTCCGTGCTCCTGGTCATGTTTGGGATTCGCAGTAAAGCTGAGTTACTAGCAAAGCTTCCAAGGATTACAAGATACGGCACGGCGGAAGACTCCCAGACGAGATTCAGTTTACAAAACGAAAATCGAAACACAGGTGCACGGCAGAAAACTGTGTACACGCGATCTGTACATGTCAACCTTGAGCAGTTGCCATGTCGTTTGAATCTTCCTCGTACCCTTCCAGTCTTACCGTATGATCACCGAATAAAAATCCGGCATTGCAGCATTTCCTGCACCATTGCTTGTAGTCAACACCAAGCTCTATGCCAGCCGTCGAAATGGCAAAGGCAAACTGACGCTTCAAGTCCTTTCCATCTCTAAGAGCAATCAGCGACCTCGAGCCTTACCTTTCGGGAAATCAAGCAGATCTCGTCCTTGACTCCATCACTTGGCATCGCTTGGGTTGGATGCCAAGTTCTGGCGGCACGCTCACATCCCTGATGCTAGGAGGATCAGGCCTGGCTGTGTAGTAGGTGTTGAACCCTCAGTTGCAGCTCGACTTCACGTACAATCCGCCCCTGATGACCTAATGATTCGCAGTGCCGCATCCTGAATTGCAGTGTCGCATCTTTGTATTGAACTCGAAGCGAAGCTGAGTTTCAAAACTGCGATCCGAACGCCAGTCATTCGGTCAGTATCGCGTGTGTCCGCACCTTGGTCCAGGCTAGGCGAAGGACATCAACGAGTTTTCGGGGTCACCGGCTGGTTGTTCAAGATATTTATTCACGATTTTTCGGGTACTTGGTTTGCCACGCATCGCGATTAGGTCTTTTTTGTTGATTTGCCATCCGGAAGGTCTGTCACCCATGATTGTTTTCAAGTGTTTGCCGGCCATCAGCTTGTGTCTGAGGTTCGTGGTTGTGCACTTCCTTCCGGTTTGCCATCCGTCATGTCTAGCCTACTGTGCTTACACAGTCTCTTCAGGCAAGACGGTGTGCAGCACTTAGGGCCGGGTTTTGCCCCGCAGTAGATGCTGGATTTTTCGGATTTGCTGGTTGTACATCCTCGCGAGTTTTAGGGTCTAGGGCTCCAGCATGCATCAGTTTGTCGTGCATCACTCCGAACTTCTGTTCGCTTGCACTCTTCTAGTTTCATGCATCATGGTGTGCTACCTGCGGCATTTCTTTCCGACTTGTTTAGGTCGAGAGTCTCGGATGCCGGCGTTCTCAGCAACATCGTACTAATAGTATGCTTGGAGATGCGAACACTTTCCTGTTTGTTTTTGGGCCGGTACCATTCGCTTGTTTGCGAGTCCCAGAGCACTGCGAAATCCCGACAACTGTGCAACGGTCCTGGCTGAGCAGACTGACTTTCGCTGTATACGAAATCCGATTTGCAGTGATGGACATTTGTGTCTGTGTCTGCGTCTGCGTGTGCATGTGCGCACGCATGCAAGCCATTGGGCTTCGGGTTTAGGATTAGCCGGAAAGAGAGCCTCTGCAAGTTTGTGGCAGCAGTGCCCTGCGCTTCTACCTGTGTCTGGGAAGCTCGAGTGCCGGAAGACGGATGTCCCTCGATTTCCGTGGTTTCGCACTCGGGTTCCTCGGAGCAGCTGCATGCGAACCCTAAGCATCGAGGACGCATTCATGCTTCCAGCGCATTAGAGCACCAAGTGCCGAAGCCAAAATTGAATTCTGAATCAATGGATGCAGGGCAGGTGCCTTCGCTTCGGCCTGTGTCCTTGCTGTGTTGCAGGAAGATGTAGAGGCCGGACTGGAGCCGGCAGACCTGCAGCCGCCTCCCTGGGAAGCGCTTGTCGTTTTCACAAGTGGTAGTAAGAACCTTCCTTCTAAGCACCAAGCTTACGCCCAGGACCCACACCGAGCTTGCGGAGCCTTCACTGCAGGATCAAGCTGCGGATGTGAAGGCACCTTCCGAAGTCGTCACCTCGTGATTCGTGCTCGTTGGCTCGGTTGGCTCTGTGGTGGACATGGACAGTAGCCATCCGTTCAGGTATCGGTGAACCCAGCTGAGGGAGCGCCAGCACGCGAGGCCAGCAAGTTCCGCCCCCAGCTTCAAGGTTTCGGCATGCAGTCGCGTGGAAGATTTTTTGGAGAGGGTGTCCAGATTGCATGACCGGACTGCCGCTTTTTTTTGGCGCTTTGCATTGGGTTTCCCGCAGACTAGGAAAGTTATTGAGAGTGATTTGTGTCGTATCAGGAGTCGCAGTGACGGTGGCAATCATGAGGACCCTGGCTGCTCGTCCTGCACATACAGCTGGACAGGGCACTGTTGCTGTCGGATGCTTTTCGCAAGCGCTTGACACAATGCCAGGCCAGGTGGCTGAAGCAAGCGCAGAGCCACTCGAGCCTTGTCTGAAATCTCTTTACTTATGGCCGAAGCAGCAGCTAGTCTTGCACTTTGTATCTTGCTGCTGTTTCGCTCAATCAGTGCCATTGCATGGTTGAGGGAGTGGGAAAATGTGTCATCCACCTGGCACAAAGTTCCACTCCAATCTTCCCAAACGACAGGGGTAAGCTGGTGTTTGATCTGGACTCCCAAAACTGTAGGACGCTCTGAGCGGCAGAGAGCGTGCGTGATTTGAGCCGAGGAGAAGAAGCCACCAGTGAAGATCAAAGGCACCATCGCCGAGAAGATCGCAGAAGCCGCTAAAGCCGAGGATGAGAAGGTCAATGCCCCAAATGTTGACTCTCTGTGGTTGAGTTGAGTATGCGTGCATCGGCATGCCTGTTCTTGGACAACGAGGAGCAGGAAAGAGAGGCGAAGACCAAAAAGGATAGAGTGAAAGGCAAAGTCAAAGGCAAAGCAGACAAGAATGGTCTGAAGGATAGAGACGGCAGCGGCGAAGATAGAGCGAAGAAGGTGAAGGCCAAGGACATGGACTGCAGTAAGATCTTCTCCAGTGTGCGCCACTGCCACAGCAGAACCGCTAACTTAACTTGGCGTGACATTCTCCAGCTGATTTACTGTCATGCGGCTCTGGTCGTTGAGGATAAGAAGAGTAAGCATGATCGCAAAAGACATGGGAGGCCCGACTTTGAAGACAAGACGTTTGTTCTTCGTGATCAGAAGCATTTCCCCAGTAGACATGGACCAGATGTGTCTGCATGCGATGAACTTGCTTCGGAAGGGTGTCACATCCTTGCGCTACGTATGCGGCGTGTGTCTGTGTCTCTGTGTGTGTGTTGTTGATAGCAGCTAGAGGTGATGGGTATCGAAGGGCTGCGATCGCTCACAGATCCCTGCCAAGCTTTCGGCATTGCAGATACGCCTCAGCTAACGCTCATAGGTGTCATAACAAGTTGCTGATGCGTCCGTTAGATTCCGAGACTGTTCTTCTTGCAAGGCGCAGCACCGCATCCTCCAGCTACAGCGACAGGCCGCTGACCTCTTTGGGATTCTTATCGTCACTCGTGCAATCATGCTGGATTTTGCCTCTGCTGCCTCTGCTGCGTGTAGTTCCTGAGTGCTTGCGCATAGGCATCAACACGGCAGGACGGGACTTAGAAAAACTCTTTTTTGCAAGCTCCACACTGGTATGAACTCTTACTCCGTTGGGATTGCGGAGCAGGGACCGAAGCAAGTCCCGAAGTCACAGCCACCGCAAAGACGTCCTCCCCTGAGCTATCGTGGCCTGATGCACTGTTCACGCCTCTGTTGTAGCAGGGACTGTCGTGTCAGAGCCTGACAACCTTGGATCACTGTCCGACTGCGACGTGAAAAGCAAAGCTAAGCCCGCCGCGCCTCTGGACTCAAGTGTTTGTTCAGCGATCATCAATCTGGGGTCTAATTTCTGAGCCACCGACGTCGACGTACGTGAACCACCTGCCCCTTGCAGTCGTGTCAACGCCAAACTGCGCACATGCCGGCATGCAAAAGCGACGCCAGCCGAATTGTCGACAATTCGACCGTAAGTTCGGCGTGGGCGCATGCCAGAAACGAGATGCGCCCGAGATACTAAACCATTGCAACGGAGAGAATTTTGTGAGGAGCTACGGCGAAGCGACCACTCAAGTCGAAGATGTGACTTCCGATCCCTTGCACAAGAAAGGGTAAAGTCAGAAGGAGGGTCTTCGATTAGTTAAACTGATCCCCTAAGGCCAAGAGGAGTGGCAAAGCCAAAGGGAAATCCCACCACTCGTCTGACTCAAGTGGAAGGCCTTGATGACAACCTTTCAAGCGGAAGCGAGAAGCAAGATTTTTCCCTTCCCTGGCAGGAAGCGCAGAGAGAGAAGCGCCTCAAGCTCCAGATCACATGGCAAGAGGCGGAGTCGTCCATGGAATTTTGCAAGCTTCATCAATCGCAATACCCTGTGATCGCAATCATGGCTGCTGGCGATGATTCTAGCTCAGGGACAATTGAGGATTCTAGCTTTGGAACTCAGGCGAGTTTGCGCCCTCTGTAGCAGAAATGCCAGATCGTGTACAGTGCCTCGGTTAGTCCCCGACTTTGTCCTCCACATATTAATATGATTTCACTGCGAATTGGTTCGTCTTGCGTGTCACAGGCTTGTCGGCAGTAGTCAAAGCGGTGTGCACTCCATGAGGTGTAGAGCTGTCAAGTCCTTTGTCTCCATTACAGCTTCTCGTGCTGATGAGGCGAAAGTGAGAGACGCCGAGGACGAACTGTGCGTGGAGTGTGAACACTCTGCTCTCAGATCTTCTTGGATATGACTATGGATTTAGTGTCTGCCGCTTCACGGCGCGTCCCTAAAGATGGGAAAAGCTGCTGCATGCCTTCCAGCATACGCGGCCTGGTGACCTTAAGCGGCAACCATGACCAGCCCTGAAGCCCCGACACCTTGCAAACAGGTCGCCAAGTGCCACAATCGCAGCTGTCCAAGGGACTTTGTTAATGTGTTGACAGGGACGGAAGAGGAGAGATCCTTCCGACATCCTGGACGATGCTTCCATCTGGCTGAAGCAAAAGTGCTTGCTGGTGGATTTCGGAGACCGTTCGCGCATTGGAGCCGCAACGCATCCCAGCAGCTTTCTGAAGAGATTGATCAGAAGATTTCAATATCAGTCGGCAAGACAAGCCAAAGCAACAGTGAAGTCTTCACTCTTCGAACTGAGTCGAGCGTAACATCTGGTGGCAGCATGAAACTTCATCACCAGAAATGCTGGCAGCGAGGCCGGGGCATGATTGCTGCGATACTTCGGATAGTAAACACGTGCCAGGATGCCTCGTCGCCCTGCTGGCATGTGCCTTTCTCCGGCTGCGTGGCTCTGCTTTTGTAGGCAGGCGCGCAAGCCTACATGTTCCACAGCAATTGCATGCTTGTCAGTGCCAGTGCTCGTGACATGTTTCAAGGCACTCAGCCTCCGACAGTTTAGAACCAGTTTAGCACGCTCGGTTAAGCCACCCTCGACTTGACAAGGATTTCTCTGTCGATCCATCTTGAGTACAGAGGCTTGCCCAGATTTCCCGCATGTCTAGTGAGACTAGTGCTTTGGGATGACCGCAGATCAAGCTATGGCCAATCTCAGAATGCGGGGTCGGCAGTGCCACGAGGGTGAGAGTACTGCTCATTACTCGATCCTACAGACCAGGAAGGAGGCACAATCAACACGACGGATTGCTTGTGTTGCGCTTCTATTTGCCGCATGCTCCGCCGGCTCCATGTACATGATACTCCGAAATGCAGGAGACCTGTTGGAAATGAGGGAGTTTCCGGAGGGGCTGGAGGTCATTCGCCCTGGCTGGGCTTGGACCACAGACCCGGCAATAGTACGCGAAAGCGTATCACTGAAATCGCCGCAGCTGGGAGTGATCTCGGCCAAGCAACGGGTGCTTGTCTCGGAGCTGCGAGGTGTGCGAGCCAGAATCGTCGAGCCACTGGAAGGCTGGATCTCCTGCATCTCTGATGGCAAGCAGCTGGTCACACACCAAGAAGTTGATGACGAGCTGAATCAGGTGCGTCACAAGCTTCTGATACAGCAGAAGATTCAACGAAAAATCGATGGAGCTCTTGAGAAACGCAAGGTGGAGAAAGGAGTTCCGACTCGAGTGCCCAAGGAAACTAAGATGGACCCAGCAGCGGATCAGCCATCATCAGAGAGCCGAAGCGACGTCAACAAGACGCGTGAAGAGGTTCGACCGTAGTTGCGACATCTCTAGCAGCACATTGCCAAATTAAAGTTTCACTGTGCTCGTGACAAGTGCAGCAAAACATGTATGGGGATGCTTTGCATCAGTTGCTGCGGCCGAAGTCAGTCTATCAAGTCTCATGACTCACTGTGCTTTTCTACCGGAAGGCCCTGGCCGGGATTGGAGTGGCAGGAGGCAGGAGCCGCCCTTGTTGCCCACAGTTCGTTTGCCTTTCCATGCGCTGTGTGAATGTGCATTTTCCCTGTCCTGTTCGTGCCAATTGATCGCAGGCTTGAGCATCCGCTTCGCAGGCAGCTTTTAGCAGCTCGGTGCAATGCAATGGCACTGATGCCCAAGTCGCATTCGGGCTTAGACTCGAGGTGCCGGTGCTGGAGCTCTGCAGTGCGCTGCAGGCGAGAATTCGCAGGATATCGGCATGCGTTGGTTTTCGAGCCACAGCCCTCAGCTCTGCGAAGCCCAGCAAGCAGAAAGTGAGGTTGCTCCTGCCTTGGCTCTTAGTCCTGATCTGAGTGCGACCTGAGTATGATCAGAGCAAGCAGAAAGTGTCGGTTTTCCGTGACGTGAACCGGAAGACACCAGTGCTGTGACAAGATAATGCCTCGGACCGTAGTTTAGATACGATTCTCTTCCATGCTTTCAGCAGGTCACGGTTGTCAGTTTACCCTAAGCCAATCGTGCATAGCATCGTGTTGTCAACCAGCCCTCGAACCGAACGGTTTCAGGGCAGATAGTGCGGACGGCAATGCAAGAACCGAACGAACGTACAAAACACATTCTTCAGCAGATGCAACCTCAGTCGGCTGCACCTCATTCACTTTGCAGCCTTCTTCAGAGGTTTGCCGAGTTGAAAAGATCCAAACACTAAATATGTATTCCCAGGTTCATGTATGTTGTTGCTGTCAATCAGCTTTCCCCAAGCGCAGGTGACACGGTGACACTATGCAGTTCTTGCGTCCAGAGTAAAGTGGTATTGATACACATGTTCCCCACATGCCCCAGGGGACGGCCCAGCAGCTCCCGATGTGGCACAGAATATTTTTGACTAAAATCTCGTTGGTCGTCTTCGAAGGCGTTGTGGTCTCTAGGGTTGGAACCTTGGTTGATTCTCTGTGGCAAGACAGTAGGGCCAGCAGTCCTTAAGCCTTAAGCTCAAGGGTTTGACAGACGTCGCGGCCTTCTCTCGCTCCTTTGCAAGGAAGGGCTTGTTTGCCCTGCCGTTCCATCTTTCCTGGTGTCGTGCTTGCTCGCATTGCTTTGGCAGATGTGTACAGACAGTTTGTGACACATTCTATGGCTGCAGATCCGGGCTTGCAGCTGAATCGTAAGCGCCAGCCAGAGGTGGCGACGAGCAGCTTGTCACCTCCCTCTTCGAGCGCGTAACTCCTGGGGTTGTCTCAATCGCTCGCGAGGCACCTCCAAAGGCTCGGTTCCAATTTGCGGTGGTGCAATACCTTTGCACTCGTGCGCAGAAGCTGCAGTCGCAGGAAAGCATGGGAGAGAAGCCATCTCCCGGAATAGCAGGTTCTGGTTTCGTTTGGGACAAGAAGCATGCTCGGACCTTGCTCAAACTTGTGCTATGCATTTTCTGCAAACCAACATTGATTACGAAGCAGAGGTGGTTACAAACTACCATGTCATCAACGAGCTGCAAACGCCTGCAACCTCAGACTTCTGAATGCCATGCCACCCTTCAGGCACAGCAGCAATTGCCTGCATGAGGCCCTATGTGACCTTTCTGTTGAAGGATGGCGAAGGACGGGGCAGCGCGTCTTCCTGCTGAATGCTGGTAAAATGGCAACTTCCATCCAGCTCCAGTCCCGTACATCTGTCCAGCTTCATGCTCGAAGAGTCCTCGAATGCTTGTCAGTGCTTCCTTCAGCAACTCGCGTGACAGCGAACATTGTTGGCATCGTGGCCAGCTTCCCACAATGGGCGGAGGGCAGGGCGAATCTGCAAAGGCTACAGCCAGCAACGCCACGTGTTGGTAGAGACGTGTTTTAGTTGGTATGTTCTTTACTTCCGTACCACGCTGACCGTTTCTCCATCCTTGTCGTCGGATGGTAGTGGTAGTGGTAGTGGTAGTAGTAGTGGTAGTGGTAGTGGTAGTGGTAGTGGTAGTGGTAGTGGTAGTGGTAGCAGTGGCAGTGGCAGTGGCAGTGGCAGTGGGAGTGGAAGTGGTAGTCGTAGTAGTAGTAGCAGTAGTAGTAGTAGTAGTAGTAGTAGTAGTACTAGTAGTAGAATTCGTAGAAGCAGTAGAAGTAGAAGAAGAACAAGAAGAATCAGAAGTAGTAGTTGTTGTTGGTGTGGTGCTAGAAGTAGTACCTTCAAAATAGGGGACAGGTGCTTGTCGAAGCCTTTCGGCTTTCAGGATCCAAGCGACTGAGTTACCAAGCTCAAGTTGTTGGCACAGTGCTCAGAGCTAAAGTATTGCCTGATGGTCCTCTTTGATTCATACAATGATAGAGCCAGTAAAGCTGCACAGGCTACGATGCAACCAGTGATGTGGCCGTGTTGGAAGTGGGCAGTCAGGACTCCACGACATGTGGGTGATGGTGCAGCATAACCTTTCGATTCCTCATGCGCGCAGTACCTGGGCCAGGACAGCAAGGACAAGCAGAAGGAGAAGGAGATGGATATTCCAAGAGGCACACACTGCCGGACTGTTCTGGACTCGGTGAGAATGCCGTGCGCAGGCCTCATGCAGCCCCTCGCTCGCGGTCGGTCTGACAGGCTTCTGGTTGGTCCTATTCTCGGGGTTCACAGCACGCGACTTGCCCCGGTGACATGATGCTCTACCCACCCCCAGGCCAAAATGTCTTCGCTTTCGGAAATCCTTTCGGAGCCAGGCTCAGTTGGTGAAGTTGTGTTGTCAGGCTGGCACGAGCTTTCGCAGCAGGCTCTTTTGTGCTTTCGCTGAGGTCTGGAGCATTCTCTCAGTCGGGGGATCATCAGCGGAGCAGGCAGCTCAGAGGATTCGGTGCTGGCCCCGCTTGGTGTCTCGACCGCTTCTGTTTGAAGGTCTCGCGGAGACTTGAGGGTGCTGGTGGAAGGCCAATCAGTGGGGGGCTCAGAAAGGACTGCCACGTCAAAGGTCTGCAAGACCCGTCCGCGGCAGGTGGAGTCATCCAGACTGATGCCAGCATCAATCCAGGCCTCTGTACAAGCAGGAGAGGGTCTGCGCCGTCTACGCTTCATTCCGACGTGATGGATGAGGCAACAGTGGAGGGCCGTTGCTGAACAGTGATGGCGAGGCGGTGAGTGATTGCGTGGTGTTGTGTGGGCACAGCAAGTCTCAGAGGTGATCGGAGTCAACACAGCCATCCTCTCTGGCAGTGGCATGTTCGCTGGAGTTGGCCGCATGCTTAAAGCATGGTTTTACGGAACACAGGGAGGCATACTTAAAGAGGTCTCTTTTCACTTCGGCTTCCGCACTTCGCTCACCTTATTGCTACGTGGACAGCTGTAGATAGCCCAGGCCTTGCTATCCCGATTGACACCGTCTACAAGAATGTCGAAAGCATTATATCCAAAGGCATCGGACTTCTGCCTTCAGTCGCGGGATGCCGGAAATTTTGAGGACCTGTTCTCAGGTTGGTATCATTCCCAAGGGGCCCCAAGGCTTCTGTGAAAGAAGGGCATTCGTTTAGCGGCTATCCTCTGCTGGCGATGCACCTGCAGAACCAAACCGAAATCGCTCTCCTGTCCCGCCTGACGTGTGCAGTCTCGCTGCTGTCACAATTTCGCTTCGTCCGGGCCAAGCCTCACAGAGTTCATGGGGAAACGAAAAGTGTTGGCATGCTCGCATCTCGCCATCACATCATTGTACCTGGGATGCCGCCCCGTTTATTCACCATCTCTTCTTGGTCCGTTTCCTGGTCCGTTCCCGCTCTTCTTGGCAATGAGCAATGAATCCTAACCGCCCTAGCCCACACAGACCCCGCCGAATCTGCATGATTTTGGGCTATGCTTTTTGTATCAGCCTGTCGAAGCATGTTGACTTACTGGGCTGTCGTGCATTTTCGTGCAGCCTTTTGGAGCGTCGTTTGCCGAAAGCCTACTCACCCCTTCTACTTTCCGATGCTGAAGCGATGGCAATACAAGACTTGATGGCCCCATGTTGACCTCTTCAGTGAGGCCTATCGCGGCTTCCGCATCACTAGTCTTCTGCTCCCGGCTCGGCTTTCGGAAGCCCCTGGTTCTACGACTGTCCACACCACAGCCTGTGCAATACTCCTACAAGTACCAAGAACTTTGCTGATTCCTTTCCTCATTCCATGTTTATCAGCTGCTTCCACTTTGTTCCTGTGAAGTGTGCCTCCACTCTGTGAGTGTAGATTTGAATGCATGTTCATGTCAGTGGGAGTGGGTCGAGTCGTCTTGTTAGCTGTCAAGCACGTAAGGCAGGAGGCCCACTCTTGCCGACAACCTGCCACCGGATCCCATCATCGCCCAACGGAGTAAGTAAGAATGGTAGTAGGAACAGCAGAGACAGTAGGAGTTTCAGAATGCTTGTCTCACAGCAAAAGGTCATAAGTGTGTAGAAAGACAGCCCTTGCGCCCGAACAGAAGCCTGAAGCCTCCCTCGGCATAGATCACTGGGGAGGGGATTGAGAGGTGGGATGAGGTGGGGAATAGAGGGAATCCGAACAGGAACCTCTGACAGCTTCGGCCGGGGTCGAGGCGAATATGGTTAAACATCGGTAGGATGGCACATAAACAATGCGCATATTTGTTTTCGTGGAGTACTGACTGTGCTTGTCGCGTCGCTGAATGCAATCGCAACGTAATGCTCCGCACAGCATTCACGAGTTTGTACGAAATGGAGATGCAGGCATTTATGCAGTAGTGCATTCGACGTAACAGGACAATTTAGGTAGCATGAGACAGTGAGACAGTGTTGTACAACATATATCCATTCAGTTTGCTGAAAACACTTTATTTGAGCATCATCTAGATTATCTGGGCCCCTGGACTTTTGGCCCACAGAAACAGTATGAGTAGTTCTGTCTCGTACAAGAATTTCAGAAGGAGGTCAACAGGATCGTCGACTGTCCATTGTTCTTCGGCCCTCGAGCCCATGGTTGCTCTCATTCCACCTGTCTGCGGCTGTCCAATCCGCTTGTTGCCAGTTGTCTTTCAGAACGCATTCGCTTCCTGCTTTTGAATTTCCCATGTTTTGCACTCCTTGATTTCACCCGAATACCGTATGTTCCATCTACTCAGCTTTACAAGTGGATCAGGAGAGGAGTGGGAACATGCTTCAGAATTCTTCCGCCCAGGAGTCTTCAAGGATGGTTGTGGCTACCTTGTTGTCAAACGCATGCTGAAGCTGTCCCCATGCGACGGTCTGCCGCGCAACGCTTGGTGCCTTTTCCCTTGTGGCAGAGGCTTTGTGAAGCGACCCTTGCTTGGGCTCGTCTTCGCGCCAGATGCGCCTCGGAAAGTCGTCCCAGGAGTGGATTCAGTTGGTTCAGTGCAGGCTTCGATGAATCAGGACAGGTTAGTACATGTTCGTTCTAGGCTGTCGCAGTGCTCACAGAACGGAAGGTCAGAGAGCCGTGCTGCAGCAAGGTCATGGATCAGGAACTGCAACTCAATGGCATCATGGTGATGAAGGCTGGATTTTGAAGACAGTTGTCCCAACTCAACTTACCTAGACCTAGTCGTGCTTGGAAAAGGGGCTGGGTGGAGTTTCGAGATTCTCTGTGTAAACAAACTCTTTCGCTGCGACGAGGTCTTGAGCAAGGATTTGAGGTTTAGGTTGGGGACAGGCTCGTACCACAACGCGAGGGCGGGCACAGGTGCAGGCTGCGAGTGTGGACAAGTTCTGTGGGCTTGGGGTGGTGGGGACTTTCTGGACAGCGGCCTTGGGCATGGCCCGAGTCGCATCGAACAGCGTCGAGTTAAGCACCAATGCGCAAGTTTTTTCCAGCATCTCCAGCCCCGCTTACCTTTTGAGATTAGGTTTCTCATTTGTTCTAACGCCCATCTCCCTCAGAGGAGGAAAGGTGGGGGATCCGGTGGGCCAGCACATCTCGTCCAAGAGTAAGAGTACAGCTATTGATCTAGCAGGGTCACCAGGCGCCCAGGTGTTACTTGTGTTGTGTTCGGAGAACTCGCGTAAGGTTGGGATGCAGAATCAGGGTTTGCGAGTTTGAGTTTCAGGGTTTCGATAGGCTTTAGGATTTTGGGATTCAGAGATTCAGGGTTTGAACGCATCCTGCCTTAGCGTCACTTTGTTGATGGTTTGCTTTAAAATTTTTTAGGGTTTAGGCTTTAGGGGTTCGGCCTTGGATTGCTGGGATTGTCGATATCTTGCCAGCATGTCCTCGCTTGTTCAAAACGCCAATCCCCAAAATGATGGATTGTGCGATTGTGTATGAAGCACTTCAGTGCATGAATCCGCTGCAGTCACTCACTGGCATGGCCGTTTCGTGCACTGGAAGGACCATATTTCCAGCACTGAAAAAGACACGCGTTCCTGGAATTCGCGCACTGGGACCGCGAAAAAGGGTGTGGGCTCAACGGCTAAACGCCTTTGCCAGGCATGGATTTGTATTACTCTCTGTTGTCCGTGGTTTGTGCATGCCCAGGTAATTCCAGACGGGCCAGCTGCCTCTGCTGGAGTGCGCGCCATGCGCTGGAACCCTGGTCAGTCACAGTGATTTGCCTCCTGCTGCATGGTGCGAATCAAGGTGGCGGCCGTTTGGGAGATGTGGTGGTTGCCATGGATGGGAAGTTCGATCCCCCAAAAGATGCTTGGTTTTGCCGCGACTGTGAAGCTTGGCATGCCAAGGCGAATATCTAGCACGGATGACTTGTTCGGCATGCTGGAGCAAAGAGCTGCTTCCTCAGCGCAAGAGGAACATTTTTGACGCAAAAGCCCCTGCAAAAGCGCCAAAGGCGCAAGAGCGTGCATTTGGGAAGCTGTGAGGCTCCAGGCGACACGGTCAAGCTGACCGTGCAGCGCCCCAGTGCCGATGTGGACAGCGAGAAGACGGGACCTCAGAGTCAGCAGACAGCGCACGTCGAAGCACGGCTAAGAAGACTGACCCGGAGCAAATACTCTGCAGGTTGGAGGAGCTGGACCTGTCAATCAAGCTCGGACAGGTGGGTCACATGATTTGTGCAAATTTCTGGCTGCGATGGAATTGGTTCCTTTGCAAGCAGGCTGCCGAGTGATGTCGAGCCTGCTCCACCCAACATTCTGTCTCACCGCAGACACTTGCAACAAAGATGTGCAAGGATCCGATAATGCTCATTGCTTCCAAAGGCGACAGCCGCAGTACACAAAAACTCTCGGTTGTTGGGTTCTAGCTACAAACTGATCTGGCCAAAGGCCAAGCACCTCGAGTAATGTTGCAGGATGTCGTGTCCCCTCGGATCTCCATTGGTTGTCATTGGCAGAGGCGATTGACAAGTGGCCATCATTGATTTCTCTACGTACGTGCCCTTCTTTCAAGCCCGTGGCAACACATGCTACACCCCGAGTTTCAGAGCTAAGGTCGGGTGCAATGCAAAGGGAAAGACCTGAAACAGCTTACAAGGGCAAACCAGCAGACTTTGCACTAGCAGTGTGTCAGCATTTCATGACGATTTGATGTCTGTGAGTTCTGGCATGCGTCATGGCCGCGACATCCTTTGTGCACACATGTAGCTTCGATGCAATACTGGTCATGATTCCATGCCAGCTTTCCTGGTTCTTCTGGAGAGTGAACATTGGTCTTTTGAGTTGGTCTTCTGTCAGCAGGATTTCAGATAGCCCAAGTTCACCAGCAGCACCAAACGTGCCAAGCTCGGATCCAAAGAAGCCAAGGTTGCCGCTGCATGTGGCCCTTTGGAGGCCCCTTGGTCAGAGTGCCGCATTACTAGCTGTGCCAAAGCAAGTGCATCTAAATATCTGCTTGGTTGTTCGACCACTCTACGAAATTCATGCGCTTAAGTGCCGTGTGCTACGATTGTAGCTGGCCGATGCTGGCCACCTTGCAGTTGGTGCCTGATTCCCATGGCGGCATTGCAAAACGTTTGCGGCACACTGTTCTGCATGCAGCGCTGTCGAGGGAGTCGTGCCTTGGCTTACTTTGCCGATCCCAAGAAGAACGAAGACTACGACGAAGAGGAAGCGCACCACTTGCTTGGAAACGTCATTGACAGTGACGACGAGCAAGCCCAGGCAGGGTGCTTAAGAACGTAAGGGTATCTACATGAAGGAGTGACGATGTGACAAGCCAAGTGCCCAGTTGATTAGGGAACCTGCCGGGACTCAGGCGGATGCCCTCAGTCCCGACCAGATCAAGAGGCCTTCTGCATCGTTACTCATGAGGCGTTCCTAGTGCCTCTCAGCTTTTGGCTTCTGACATGGCAACGCGAGATTTCTGGATGCTTCCAAGTCAAGCCGAGCGTCCAGCTCCTCCACCAGCTGGCAGCGTAGCTTGTCTCAGATGGAGTCATGGCATCTGTACTGCAGCTGCAGCCGCGTGACGTCTAGAGCGAGGCGATGTGCGAACAGCGCCAGGCAGGGCCAGCAATCTTGCTGTGGGGCAGCACAGGCACTTATGTCCCAGCCAGGCCTTCGTAAGCTTGCAACTGGATCGCGCTGTTAGATTCCTGTAGCCACCCTTTGAAAACTTTGGCGATGTCAACAGGAGCTGGTGACCAATCTGGTCTTACGAGCAGGCAGCTTCATTTGTAGAGAAGCGGAGTCCTGAAGTCCTATAGAGCATTGTGTAGACTGCTGAAAGTCTCTCACTCGTCTACTGTATGTTCCCTGGTAGGTCAGCCGTCTGCACAAAGCCAACGGCGAGGCATGCCGAAGAGCTAAAGAGGTCAGCCAAGCTGGGTCGGAACGGAGGAGTGCTTCGACCTCCGCGCCGGGGGAGTACGACGAGCTCTTCGACGAGGTCTGGGTCATGCTGCCTGTGAACTGGCCAACTGGAAAACTCGGACGGCGACAGGAGCTTGAGGACGAGCCGGAGAACGTTGGTGCTCCTGTGCTGCATAAGTGGCTCAAGAGATCTCTAGAGCAGACGTTTCTGCAAAAGATGCTACATGCAGTGCAAGGCGAAGTTCCGGTATCTTGCCAGCTCTGCTGCTGACGACGACAGCTGGGAACTCATAGAGTCTGCGTGTGGTGCCTGGCAAACATCTCTGCAGACAGCTGCTGGCGAGGCTTCAGCCCAGTAGAAACGGACGGCAGAGGCTTGGGCTTTGGTGGTGCCAAGCAGGGCGCCTAAGCTACAGAGGCCTGCCATTCAGCGGTGTGTCTAAGTGTGGACGAGATATGTCGTCGTGAGTCATATGTGGGCACAGAGCGATGTCCTTTTGGAACCTTAGGCCTCGTGCTGATGCGCAGAACGCAACGGTGGTGCCCCTAAATGACGAAGGGTTCGGCAACGATTTCCGAAGATGACACCGCAAAACATGCCGATCGTAGATGCCGAGTATGAGCAGGCAGTCGGGACACTGGCTAATCAGCTGAAGGGCAACAGCGTGGGGCTTGGGTCTGTTTACTACAGACAGCTGGGCCATTGGGCATGCTTGAACCACCAGGTTCCCTGCTGTATGAAGAAGATGACGAAGACGAGGATGAGGCGGTTCTCTTCACACATGACTGCACGGTCCCAGTCGCGAGCTTTCTCCACGGTGTTACAGCGATTCTTCACCGCAGCCGCTTCAACTCCTGATTGTGCGGCACGCGGGGATAGTGCTGCCGTGAATGGCCACCTGGGAAGGACATGATTCTGGCTTAGGTGTCTCGGACAGTGAAACGAGATGAGCTGGGGAGTGTCGACTCTCTGTTTGCAGCAGAGCCAAGGAAGTGACTGGGAAACACTTGGGCCAGGGCTGCCCCATGAGAAAGTCCGGGGATCTCGAACAGCCGACTTCGTCCGATTTGCAGAGCTTCAGAGTGAACTGAAGGTCGCTCGTCACAGATGATGTGTGCTGTGGAAGAAAGGCCCCGTTAGGTGCGATTTCTTTTGAGCCGAGGCCAGCTGTGGCTGCATCCTGGAGTTCACACGGCGAAACTTCCGCTCCCTCGCAGACCTCGCCCCGGCGTTCTCGGAGGTCTGCGCAGTGCTCGAGCAAGGCTCTGAGACCAAGCTTTGTGATCTCGCAAGCCATGTGCGGAACATGGAGTCGCTGGTCCAGCGTATTCATGTGAAAGAGAAGCTAAGAATACTGTTTATAGGTCCACTCAAAGCTGGAAAAAGCACTCTCGTAAATATGCTGCTTTCAACGACATTGGATGAGTACGAGATGATGCTTCCAGTGGACAACAAGGCTCTCCGGGGTAGTGAGCTTCTTTTCCCAAAGCTGTAGACAGGTGACATAAGTATGAAGTAGACTATACTGACCACACCTTCGAGCCCTGACGAGGCAGCAACCAGCTGCATCTGGAAGGTGGAGTCGTGTTCGGGTGCAAAAGCAAGCGTTTCAAGAGCTTCAAGAAGAATGGAACCTGGAGGGTGTAGAGGCCAAGGACATCCGCGCCGACATCGCCAGCTTTCTGGAACGACGTTTCTCCAGGGATGCCAATCCTATGAATCGAGGAGAGATCTCCATCCTTCTCCCTCTGCAGCTGCTGAACCCTTTCGGCTGCCACTACAGCTTAGTCGACACACCTGGCTTCACGGACAGCTCTGAATATCGAGAGCTGGTGTCGAGTTTTTTGCAGGATCATTCCCACATTGCCTGCATGGTGTGCCCACTCACAGAGGGGATTGCGCTACCAGAGGAGACTCAAAGTATGCCCAGGCTAAATTCGTACAGCAAGACCTTTTGGGTGCTGACACGTTTTGATATGGCGCTAATGCTAAAGACGGGCAAGCAGCGCTTGAGTAAGATGTCCATCCGCCAAGTTGCTGACAGCTTGGTTGTAAAATTCCAGAAGGATATCAACGGTAAGGGCAGCACTGCTCGAGTTTTCCGTCATGCAGCTGGCCTAATGCTGGATCCAGATGATGACATCAACAAGCTCCTGCAGGAGCATCTTCCTTTGGAGGAGGCCAAAACTTGGATCGCAGACATACAAGCTCATGTCAAGGAATGCTTCATGGCAATGCAGCAGGAACAGACAGTCCTTAGCTCCCAGGCACAGCAAGCTATGGTACGAACAGCTGAACTGATGGATGTATACACAGACAGGGTCAAGTCGTCCCGAGGCACTGTCGCACTGAGCGACTTCTGCGCGCGTGAGATGGAAACAGCAGTTGAAGATGCGGCAGCCTGCCTTGAGCGTGAAATTAAGCAAGAAGTCGATACCTTGCGTGCCAAGAGATTGGGTGAGCTTTGTGACCTGGCAAGCCAGGAAGTGCTGAAGGAAGGTGGACGATTCGGAAAGGTCACGTGGGTTCGTCACACCTACATCGAGCGCGTGCTTGCCTTGCTCGCTCCCAAGATTGAGCATGAGCTCGAGGCGCGCCTTGGTGAGGCGATGCAGCGAGCACACGAGAAGACACTGGAAGGGGCCTTGCGTCTCTTGCGTGAAGCTGGTCTCGATGGGCTTCAAGGTGCTAGCATAAACAGCCAGAGCGAGATCATTCGACCGGAGACAGATCACCTTCGCGGACGCTACCCGGTCGAGTCTGTCACCATGTTGACCGGTGCAACGTTTCTGGCTGGCCGCGCCGCAGCCACCGAAGCCGGTGCGGCTGTGCTGAGTAGTTTGGGTGTCAGCTTCACTTCTTTGCAACTCGTTGGCCTTGTCAGCCCGTGCAAAACTGGCTGAATGTTGCCACCACGTGCAGCGGTTTATGGAGGCCGAAAGTTTGACATCCCGCGCGGGTCAGGATGCCGTGTCCTGCTGCAGCTGGAGCATCTCCAGAAAGTGGGCCGAAACCATCAGTCAAACCAGTGTTTATGTCGGTGAGAATTCCCGGACAGACACAATTGATGGTTTCGTACTGGCTCGCCTGTTGTGCTTTCGGACGGAAGGCGCTTATCAGAACGAACTGCTTCCAAGAGGCCAGCCATGCAATTGCTATCTTCAAGAAGACTTTCCCGGCCTTGCTCCTTCCTGTTGTCTATGGGGCTGCAGTCGATGTCCTTGTATCGTATTATGATGCTACACACACACAGTGGTATATGGGTTCCAGGCGTATGTTGTTTTGGTCTCGGTTACTTTGACCTGCTGATAAAGACATGACATAAACAATCAAGGAGGACAAGCGCACATTGGAGCCCATCGAAGCGCAAGTGCGCTACTGCACAACTTTGCTTGCGGGACTGCAAGACCACGAAGAGGTACCTTGCTTGGTGAAGATATGGTACTTGGCCGTCGTCTCGTCTTTCTCACCTTCTGGTGATGGCGGTGGACATGTCAGCGAACTGAAGCTGCTACCGGAAGCAATCACATTCTGGATGCAGCAAGAGATGAGCCTTCATGCTTTGCGAGTGTTGTGAAACAGAAGGTCACCCTTGTTAAGGAGCTTTCCAGCTCCTTGACCATCTCGCAGTCAGATCCTAAACTGCAGGAAGAGGAGATCAAGAAGGCCTTCCAAGAACTATGTGAACAGTTCATCAGTGGCCTGGTCGACTCAGGTGGCTACGTGATCACCTCCTGCACTTTGTGCTCGGTGGCCACGGGACCAGCTGTCTTTGGATGGTTGGTGGCGAAGATCACGTCAGCTGTCCCGCTGAGCGCGGTCGCGGAGATGTTTCTCTTCGGCACCCTCTTTGAGGTGCCCGAGGGTGTGAACAATGGAGGAGGCAGGCAGTGCGGTGCGAAGGGCTGCTCATCCACGGGACATGTGGGTATATCGTTCCAAAGGGTGTGCGTCGTTTGCAAGCATGAGGTTTGCCATGATTGGAATAAGGGTGCTCGCATCGGAGAGGCGAGTCATCCAGGACCGTCAGGAGGCGGTGCAAGAGCCACAGCTCGGCGACGGGCCGAGCATGAAGACGCTGAGCATGCAGAGTGTGGCGACCCTTTGGGTCTGGCGAGCATGCTGCGACCTCTCATCGTGCAGTTGCTCCGAGAGGTCTTGCAGGAGATTTTGGGCGGTGGTGGGCTGGCCGGGCTGATGCAACCGGCTGCTTCTTTGAGAGCGCCTACGGTGGCACGCGATGTCGAGGGGGCTGAGCTGCAGAACACCAAGGGCAAGCGATGGAACAAGAGGGGCGGCAAAGGCAGGGATGATGCCGAGGCTGTGGGTGCTAAAGGCAGAATCCAGCCGGATGGTGGCGACCCTTCCGGGAAAGGCAAGGGCCAGCCTGCACCGCCCAAGGGCGGCAAGGGCAAGGGAGCTGTGGCAGGTGAGGCCCCTTCTAAGGGATCGGGCAAAGCTGGCACAAAGTCTGGTGCGAAGGAGGGCGATAAGCATGGCGGTGGAGACCCCAAAGGTCCGGGTGGCAAGCCTGGCCGGGCTGAGGGCGAAGGCGAGTGGACCGTCGTCGGTAAGAAGAATGCTGGGGAGTGGCAGCTTCGTGCCACCGACTGGAGCGATCCTGTGATGACCTATGAGAAGTTGCTGGAGGCGGCTTCTGGCAATGGGGATAAGGTGAAGGCGGTTGCCGTTGTGAACGAGGAGCAGCGGGAGACCATCATGACGCTCTTCAGGGGCTGTGGAAAGGCCCATGCTTTGCTGCTTGTGGATCTTCAGCATGGCGACAGAACCGAGCGATGCCCTGGGGCGATTGGAGGGCGATTGGTCTTCAAGCAGGTTGCTTTCACGCGAGCCTGCTCTGCCGGCCTGGATGCTCCAAGGCCCAAGGTGCAGATCGTGGGTGGGCGAGTTGACTTGCAGGAAAATTCGGTGGTCTTTGTGAGGTTCCTTCAGAGGTTCCTTGATAAGGACACGTGGAATCAGGTGCTCAAGGCACCACAGAAGGCGCTGCTGGATCACTTGGCCCGGCACCGCTTGAAAGCGACGGACTTGTGGGGGTGGGTCGTTGAACCGGGGCCCAGCAACACACAGCAGGTGTTTGGCAAGTGCAGGATGGCGGACAAGGACATTGGCACTTTGCTGGCGACGAGTGGGAAGAGCCGGCCTTCTTTGAGCCGGCCCGGTCATTCTGCATGGAGCCGGTCACCACGGAGTGGCAGGTGCAGCATGAAGGTGAGACACCGAGCGCCTACTTGACCCGTTGCTTGACCTTGCAGGCGGACTTTGGGCTGGTGGCTGGGAAGCGACAGCTCGGCAAGCGCATGAAGCATGACCCGAGCATCCCAAGGCAGCGACTGTGGTTGGTGCTGGTGCCTGGTGTCCTCGGCCAGGCCTTCAGTGAGGTGGAGATGGTGCACCAGCGGCGCAGGGGTAGTTGCCGTGACTACGTTTTTCGCGGCACCACCCTGGAGCAGAGCGACAGCATGGCCATGCCACTGCAGCTGGGCGATGAGCAGATCGTCCTTTGGGTACGGCATGCGCCACCGAAGCGTGGGGCCATCCAAGGCCAAGAGATCAAGGCCACGGGGGCATGGAGTTTGTTGGGCCCGAGGCAGGTGTTCGGCTCGGAGCCTCGGGCGGGGGTGCCGGAAGCCACGGAAGCCACGGACAAGGTCCAGGAGACAGCGGACGCCAGTGGCAGGCGGCGCCAAGACCGAGAAGGAGGGCGATGCCGACATGTCCAAGAAGGCGGAGCCGGGCAAGCGGAGCACATCCTCTGATGGGCCGGCGCCGAAGCGGGTGGCAGGGAGCCAACGAGCGCTCCCAGAGGGCGTTAAAATCGTCAAGACCGAGAAGGATGGAAACTGTTTGTTCAGCAGTTTGGCCATCGGGATCAATGCCCTGAACCCGGATGCCAAGCACCAGTTGACACAAGCTGAGGTCAGGGCGAGGGTGGCCGTTCACTTGCGCAAGAACGAGCAGGCTTACACGAAAAGCTGGGACCGAGAGCTTCCTAACCGGACTGAAGCCAAGAGCTGGAGCCAGTACGTAGACTCCATAGAATGTGACAAAATTTGGGGCGGGCTCACGGAGATCCGTGCCGCCACGAGGATCTGGGACTTCAGGTGCATCGTCTTCCCGACGAGCGAGCATGATGTTCCATTCCATGTGCATGGGCAGGCGAAGAAGAGGGTTGTGGCGTTGTACTTCACGGGTTCTCACTATGATTTGCTCCAGGGCGACAATGGATCGTTGCCGAAATCGATCATGAGTATTCGTGAGGCGCCAGCTGAGGTGCCAATGCATGGTGGCGGTGACGATGGCGAAGAGAGCACCAAGTCTGTGTGGACACGATCCTCGAGGCAGACTGTGTGGACTGCTCCTTCTCGGGCTTCTTCGGTGGCCCGTGGTGCAAGGGCTTCGTCGACTACGGGCTCCAGGGCTTCTACCTGTCGGCTGGCTTCTGCTGTGGCCACAGGTGCAAGGGCTTCGTCGCCTGCAAGCGGGCTTCTGCGGTGACCACTGGTGCAAGGGCATCATCGGCTACAGGGTCCAGGGCCTCGACCTCCAAGAGGACTCCTTCGGTGGCCATTGCCTCTACCTCAAAGCGATGTCGGGCTGCTTCGGCGTCTGGTGGCTCAGTGGTGGCTTCGGTGTGAACGTCAGTCCTCATTGGGGTCGGTGGCCTCGGCAGCTCCGACATGTGCATCTGAACCGTCCCAGGATGGGCTTTCTGAGGATGATCTCCCTGAGCCAGAGGCGAGAGGTGGCGCTGTGCGGCACCGGATCCCAAGAACCACCCTCGCCTTCAGGCTGATGGTACCTACCTTGAGGAGTGCAGGCGCTGTGCTCATGTTTTCAAGTGCAAGACGGCCAGGCAGCTAGCCGTGCAGCGCCACAAGCATTACGCTTCGTGGCACCCAGGTGAGTCCAGACCTTATGTGTACCGGGCCGTCGATCCGATGATACGGCGCATCAAGGCAAAAGAGACCGCTGACTGGGTTTGCCCCTTGTGCAAGTTTGGGTTTCCTGGCCAAGGCGAGTGCCCCTCGAGTGAGAGCGGTGAAGGAGAAGCATCGGGCTGAGGCCCACCCTGATACCAGCAAGGCCGCGTACAACAAGTTGTTGGTGAAGCAGTACTGCACCAAGACGGAGCACCTGATGAAGTGCCGGACCCGGATGCTCAACACATCAAGGTCCTACCTCTTTGTCAAAGGCGATGTTCCTGGGTGCGTGGCGTTCACCTGGCCGAATATCTGGACGATGCGCAATAAGGAGAAGAAGCTTGTCCTTTCCTCGGGATGGAGGTGCCGAAGCTGTGACCGGTGCTTCTTGCGGGCCGGCGAGGCCAGGGAGCATACGTGCCGGCCGACCTTGGCCCATGCTCTCAGGAGCCGCGTTGCCAGGCTCACGAAGCTGAAGCGAGGACTCGCGAAGATCAAACACGGTCTGCCACAGGATGTGCTCGATGGCGTGATCTCCACGGCCATCGCGATGATTGGAGGGGAACCAGTACCACAACCATGATCGTCATGGGGACCTTCAATATTCAGCGGGCAGGCGCGGCAAAAGTGCACATGATCGGGGACCTCTTCGAGGACTCTGGCTTCTGGGTCGACATCCTTGCGATTCAGGAGCTGGACTTGCCTGATGTGGCTGCTGCGACTTTCTGCGATATGCTTAAGCGTCGAAAATTGCATGTTTTTCTTGGAGATTGTGATGGTGGCCAGTACAGGTGTGCCATCATTTCTCGTCTCCCCGGTGCTCCGCTATGCCTACATCACGGCAGGCTAGCAGGTGCTGTTTTCGAGCTCCTGTGCAATGGGAGTTTTTGTCGAGTTTCAGTGGTTTCATGTTATGGAGTGGCTGGGAATCCAGCTGCTGCAATGCAAGTTGTCGAGCATGCGGTTTGCGAGTTGAAGAAGGGCCAGACTGCCTGGGCTTTGTTGGGCGACTTCAACTTAGAGGCTTTGGAGGAGCCCTTGATTGGCTCGTTGTCTCGAGGCCTGGCGTGGAACTGGGACGATGGATTTCAGGGGGCATCTCTGCTTCCTGGAACACGTGAGAGTGGGCGGCGACTCGACTTTGCCTTAGGCTGCGGGCGCTTCTTTCCCCAGGGCGTCCAGCAAAGATGTGTGTTCTCTGATCACGCCCAAGTGGCTTACTCCTTGGACTTGGCGGCACCAGTGGGTCACCGGCCTCCCAGCTTCGTCCCTTTGATGACCGAGGTGGTGGATGAGCCGAAGTGGGCTAGGTGCTGGCGTGGCGACGTCTTTGAGGAGGCTTTGGCCAATGATGATGTGGATGCAGCTTGGACGGTGTTGTCCGACGCCGCGGAGGCTGCTTTAGCAGCCCCTGAGTCGTCGGGTCATCGGCGGTCGGCGGCGTGGTCCCCCAGACTTCGAGCCCAGCCGCGAAGCAAGGTGGGAAAGTCCATGGAGGCGGTCGGCATTGTTCAGTTGAGGTGGCTGTGGCGGCGGATTGTGCAGCTTGGCCATCGTCCTCATGATGGTTGCCTTCGTGACAAAGCGGGTCGCCAAGTGCTCGCGTTGCTTCCTGCCTTCCCTTGGTTGGAGGAGCTCGGCTACTTCGAGATGGAGCGGTGGAGCGATTGGCTTGCAGAGCACATCGAGCAGGAGGTGACAAAGCAGGCGGGCGCCGCCGTTGCTAAGTGGCGGCACCGGCTTCAAGAGTCCCCGGCCCAAGTGTGCGCATGGATCCGGAAGCGTGAGGCCGTGTATGGCGGTTTGGAACGTCCTGGGCTTGGGCCGAAGGAGGTTTTCAAGACCAAGCCCATTCATCCTACCAAAGTGGTTCAGATGGCCTCGGAAAATTTGATGAAAAGCTGGGGTCGGGACTCTACGGACAGTGAAGCCCAGGTGATATTACGTTCGGTCCCCGCTTTCTCTGAGGAGCCGTTGCAGGTGATCTTCACTGGAGAGGAGTTGAGGAGGGTGGCCAAGTCGATGGCGAATAAGGCGGAGGGGCCTGACTCATGGTCGTGTGCTTCGTGGATGTTGTTGCCTTTGGAGTTTTGGGACGCCTTTGCCGCCGTTTGGCAGAAAGTCTTTAACTCTGGCTGCATTCCGAGACGGTGGCGTGAAGGCCGTGTGGTCCTCATCGAGAAGGCGGCAGGTGGGCATAGGCCACTGACAATCCTCTCGGAGGCATGGCGAGTCGGAGCCAGACATGTTGTCCAGCATCTTCATGCATGGGTGCGACGGTGGGCCACTCACCGGGTGATGGGGGGTGTTTGCCAGCGAGGTGTCAAGGATGCTTTCGTTCGAATCTTTGATGCCTTGGATGATGAGAACTTCTACTTGCAGGAGGACCTCTCAAAGTTCTTCGACTCGGTGAGGTTGGGGGACCTGAAGGCCACTCTCGAGCGCTTCGGCTGCCCAGGTCCTCTCCGGCGGCTTGTTCAAGGGTTTTACGGGCAGCATCGCAGGGTCTTCACGGCTTCTGGAGTGATGGGGGACCGCTGGTGGGATGTCACTTGTGGTGTCGCCCAGGGCTGTCCTTTTAGCCCAGTCCTCGCGGCCACGGTGATGGCAGCTTGGGCACACTTTGTGGAGGAGACGGCTAGCCCTGGAGCCGAACGGTTGCAGCTTTGAAGAGGGCTAAGTTTCGGAGTAACCTCTTTGATGCGGCTTTTGGCTTCACCTGCGACGTTGGGAAGAGCAAGTTTGCACATAACTCATCTTCCCCCGAGGCGGCGGCTTTCGCGGCGGAGCTGGAGTACAGTGTGGGCGACTCGTTGTCCATCCTGGACCTGCATGTCGACCTCCAGAAGGGCTCGGTCCCCACGGTCAAGGACTTTGTCTTGAAACAGGTTGTTCGCCGGGTGCGATTGATTGGGGTGGCTGTTGCTGGCCTGGTTGAAAAGAGGAGGATGCTTTGCAGCTTGGTGGTGCCGAAGTTTACTTGGGCGAGTGGATTTGCGTCCATCCCGGAGGATGAGTTGGAGGAGATTGTCGGTGCCTTTCGACACTTGCTTCACAAGGACTTGGCAGCTGATGCTCCCCTGGTGCTGGCTTTTGAGGTGGCTGGTTGGACTTGCCACCCAGAACTGGCGGTGCAGTGGAGCGCTCTTAGGGAGGCGATTCGCTATGCTTCCAAGGAGCGAGCTTGGGTGGAGCATGCCCCCCTTCGGCTCTTGACTAAGAAGTGGTTTCACCTCCTCCCTGGTACCGTGAAGGTTCTCCAGCAGCTGAACTGGTGGCATGACGAGGAGGGCAAGTTTTTCTGTCGTCGTGACTCCCTTGGGCAAGTGCGCAAGTTCGAGCTCGGGGTTGACGGCGTGGACGTGCTTCTTGAATGGCTCTGTGACGTCTTCCGCCGCCGTGGCCTCAAACGATGTGCGCGGGTGACTAGGTCCCTGAAACGCTCCTCGGAGGATGGGTTGGCGCAAGGCCTGGACCTTCCGGCCCCTGCTCACAACACTCTCGCTGTATTTGAGGGGCACAAGTGGGCTTGGAAGCGAGCTGCGGATTCCATTGACGGGTGTTCGGCTTTGGTGACGGGCTGCAGCTACTGGTACAAGAAGAAGCAGGTGCTGGCAGCTGGAGTTCGTGACCCTCCTTGCCTTTGCGGTGGGCGTGAGCCGTCCAGACCTCACCTGCTCTGGGCCTGCGAGAGAACTGCCGATCTTCGAGCCTCGACCCAGGCACCGGTGGATCGGCTGGAAGAAAGATTGCTGGCGAAAGCGGTGCCGGAAACTCCTGCACCGCCGACTGTGGTGGACCCACAGGACCTCATCGAGCAGATGGCGGAGTTCCTTCAAGCAAGGTTGGCGGCTGGCACCGACGTCTACGTGGCGACTGACGGCAGCGTCGTGAACACTGTGGCGGCGTGGGCGGCTATCCTGAGTTACGACGCAAATGGCGACTTTGCACTCGGAGTGGCGGGGGAGCACCAGTCTTCCCATCGGGCCGAGGTGGAGGGGCTCCTCTCCATCCTTCGGGCCCTGGCCCTGACGACCGCGGCGGGCACTGTTCACATCGTGGCGGACTGCCAGTCGGCTTTGGCTGTGATGGCGGGGGGCGGTGGTGCGAAAACCCTTGCTGGAAGAGCGGTGGAGCTTCAGGCCAGTTTGGCTGATTGCATTCAGGTGACGATGTGGTGGGTGCCCTCGCATGGCAAGGTGGCGCCCCACAACTGGCGATGCCCTCCTTGCGGTGAAGCCACGGCTCGGGCCCTCAATGCCAGAGCGGATCGCGTGGCTCGTGACGCTGCTACCAGACGTGCTTCTGGGTCGCAACGGGCGATGTGTGCCTCTATCAGGTCGGCGGCCTTCGAATGGGAAAAGCAGGCCTTGCTTGCCCTCTCCGGAGTCGCCCACCGGTGGATGGATGGCTAGCTGCTCTGCGGACGGTCAGCTACGGCTTTGTCACCGTGCTGGCCCCTTCCCTTTTGATCGCCTGGTCGACTCAGTTCATGTCTTGCTGGAGGCGACAGCTGATGGCAGAAGGAACTCAGGAAACATACGCTTCATGAACCTGAAGACACGCTCCCCACGCCTCCATCTAAGAATCCCTTGCTTTGACGAAGCCTTTCCCCCGCAACGGCCCGCAACACAAGCGCTGCCCTGGAGAGGCTCTGCCTCCTGAGCACCTCAACATGGACGGATTGGCCCGCTCGATTCTGAAGCATGTGCTGGCCACTGTAAAGGATTGCCTCGAAATCCAGCCAGAGCCCTTCCCAAAAGGGGTTTACAGGAGCTTCTTGTCCAGTCTTTGCCCTGTAGATGAAAGCAGCGCTGCCAAGCTTTCAGACGAATGGGTCCGGCAGCTCGGCGCGTTAATTATGGAAGTTCCTCAGCAAGAATGAGCAACGGACCTAGAAGTCTGTGTACAGTGCTCACAGCGACCTATGGCCTTCTCGGCACATCGTGAAAACGCCGGTGCGGGACATATGCAGATGCATTCACATCATGTCGCATCCCACACACTCAGATCTTATCATTATCGGTTCAATGTGCATGCAGGTCGCAGGTCCAATGGTCCTGCCATCTTCGCCCCCAGCTTTTTTGCCGGACCTCGGCGCTTCCCTCGCAAGTTGGCAAACATTGCCAAACCCCCAGTCTTTAGAGATTCCATTCCATGCTCCCAGGCACCGGACATGGAGTGTGGCCCCCAGACGTAGGAAGATGCAGACTTGCGAGGCGTTGTTAAACTGCTGGGTCTGTCCTTCTGAGGCTGGAGCCTCCTTCGATACAGCTTTCAGGGCACCGAGATCTGAGGCCATACCGATGCATGCATCAAAGGACGTCAATGTGGGATGCCCAGCTCAGTTAATGCTTGCACGCACATTTATGACTGCGGGTTTAAACGAAGAAGGGGGTGTATCACCTCCTTCCATCATCTCCCATCTGGGGAGTTCTTGCACTGTCAGGTTGTTCCGGCAGCTCCGCTGCTTGCGTCGCCTGTCTCCTGGGATGCTGCCAGCAGCATCGTGCTGGAAGGCGACAGTGAAGGCCACCAATTTAGAAGCATTTGCAAGCACGCGCACAGACAAGGAAGGAAGAGGCGTTTCAATGCTTTTTGGTTTTGACGGGGGATGCTGCTTGCAAGCTCGCAGGGAGCTTCATCAAAGAGGCAAGGACCTCAGGTGTGGAACTGCATGCAGACACCTGTTGAGAATGATTCCAAGGTTCCGGAAGCGACTGCTGTGGCCGGGCAGGGTGCCCAAACTGTAGGTGCATCGGACGCTATGTCAAGGTGATGAAGTCTTGCACGGAACCATGCTGCCAGAACAAAACGTCTTGCCGTAGCAGTGGCCTGGATGTTTGGCCACGAATCCGAGTGAATGCTGTGAATGTGCTTGCAGAGTTGATGGCGCACTGCCTCAGAGTCTGCCAAGGTGAATCGGAGAAACAGGGAGTGTCCGTTCGATAATGCACATGAAAGCCTTTCCTGCCAAAGTGTATTGGACAAGACTGACCTTCCCAGACACTGCGAAAAAGCGTGCGGAGAGCGCGGACTGCCAGTGTTCTCACTCTGATGAGCCTCTCCTATGGGGGATGTGCTGCCATGGCAGGTGTGCTGGAATTGATTTCGAAGTTTTTGGCTTCAGCAGCACTCGAGAAGCAACTTCGGATCGGCTGGGCCCACGAACAGCTCAGACACAGAATCTGACACACTGATCTCTGGTTGTAAATGGGCCATGGCAGTTATCGATCTACTCGGTGCAAGCATCACTTCTTTGGATCAAATTCGAGGCTCGGGCTTCAGAGTTGATTTGCACACTCCCGCCCTTCGCAGTCTTTGGGAGGACTTTGCGACAAAGCTCGTGATGGTGATCCGGGAGAGTGGAAGCTCCAGTAGTAGTGGAATTCAAGCGTCAGAACTTATTCCACACTGTATGAAAATTTGTGCATCAAATGCCGAGTCTCGTCCGAGGCGAGCCCGGCGTCTGAATCTGCACATGAACCAGTGCCTCGGCTGTTTGCATCACTGGCCGAGCTCTGAAAAACTCTGCCATTGTGAGGATCAAGGATCTGGCCGGCCTGAGTCGTTTTGCGCTTCTTGAGGCCCGCAAATGATAAGCAGAACGAAATGCAGATGCGACGATGAGAGAAAGAATACAAGCTGTATTTGAGACTGATCCCTTCTTTGCCACGCTTGCTTCTTGGTTGCAGGAGCTGATCCTCTCCGGCAACTGCATCTGCCATCTCAGGCATCGGCAAACCTCCCGCGAGAGTTCACTGCTCTGAGACGCCGCTTCAGGCCTCCGGATTTCGCGAGGCTCTCGAGTCTGCGCCTGCTGGACCTGAGCTGCAATGCCTTGACCACCATCACGGGGCTTCGGAACCTGAATGCCCTCGAGGAGCTGTGGCTCGGACGAAAATGTGGACTAAAAGCTGGTCTTGTCGTGTCGTTGTCGCCTCTGAGGCGCTTGGCCTACAATCAGATTCAGACGCTGGAAGGAGTGTCTGGGAAGTGTCGACGTTGATGTCGACTTGTCATCACGTGGCCACTCTTGATGCGCAAGCCTGCAGGCCTGCAGCAGTTCTGGGGCCAGCGATTTCGATTGAGATTGCTGGACCTGAGGTTCGACAGTACCAGTAAGTTTAGGTGCTCTGCACTCTGCATAGCCCCGAGGTGCAACAAGATCGGGGCCCTGCCCCAACTGCTTTTTCTTGGAGGTTGCACGAAATTGGAGACCCTGGCCTTCCAGGCCAGGATACTGGATCATAGCACGCTGACAGCAAGGCACTGCTCGTACTGCAAGTGTAATTCTCGTGCCCAGGAGGAAGTCGGAGGAGATTCGAACCCCATCTGTGCAGAACCAAACTACCGTCCCGGGTCTGCAACGCCATGTATACTGCCGTGTTGGAACACTGCACTACACTACGAAGCCTGCGAAAGTTTTTTTTTCGAGCCGAGCTGGCGATGGCGAGGCATGCGTGTGGTGCAAGTGGTTCCGTGGCTGCGGGTCTTGGATGGCTCCGCAGTTCAAGAAGCACAGCGAGTGGTTCAGGATGGTCGTTCTGCCTTGTGCAGCGTCTTCGTCCTACGCCTGTGCATCGCTTTTGCAGGAGAGCCAGCAAGTCGACATTTGCAGCAGAGCTGACTCTGATCGCCTTCGGCATCCCAGTTCCCAACTCCTTGACGCACCTTGGAGCACGCGAAAGTTGTGGTGTCCATAGGTTTTGCAGGGCCTGGAGCCAAAGAGACACATGTTTTGCTCTCAAACCTCAGGAGAGTCGGCATCTGGAGGCTCAGTACGAGGCAGCTGAGCACCAAGCTGCTGAAGCACAGGCCGAGGCTCTGACAGCACAGAAGGCAGCAAGACAGGCACGACTCGTGAGACACCAACATTTGAGCCGGGTGTAGGTGCGGAAGCATTGGCAGTCAATTGGCAGCCGGCAGCCGGTCAGGCTCAAGACCAGAGGACCCAGGCGATGAAGAAAGCAGAGTCGGAGCGTGAGGCCAAGATCCACTCAGATCTGGAAGAGAAGCCTGTCCCGAGATTGATTTCTGCAGTCGTAGTGTCGTTCGTGTGGTTGACAACATCCATCATTTCCTTGATGCGACAACGAGGATTGTGATGGCCGTTCAGAAGCAGGAGGATAGCTTTGCCGAGCAGCTTGCTCGGCTAAGTCGGGCAGATGCTTGCCTACAATAGTTCGATTCTCTTCGCAGCCTGCGGCTGTCCAGTCATCGAGGATGCTGCGACATGCCGCGATAAGGAAGAAGAAGAGGCTGCCGTGCACGCGACGCAGCGCGAGGAGTCGGAGGTGCTTGCACACGAGCAGCAGCAGCTACAGGCGAGTCCTGGCTGCATCTGAGCACTCAAGAAAGGAGCCAACGGAAGCTCACAAAAGACAGCAAAGCCAAGGCTCAGCTTAAGTGAGACGCACGAGACGGCGATGGCAGATCGGTTCAAAAGCGCCTCGACTGAAAACGCAAGAAAGAGATGCTTGGTCATTCCGGCAAGAAAGGCGAGAAGGCGGATGCCGAGCAGCGGCTGTTCCAATGGCAGAAGCAGGTCCGCGGTCCTTTGGCGTCCTGCGCCGACGCCTGGGACTCGCTCTGGATTTCTGATGTAGGTGGCATTCGCTCTTGCCGTCCATGCAGTCAGGCTGGGCTCAAGTCCGAGCTGCTCCAAACTTCCCAGCGTCTGAAGGAATCCAGGCTGACGGGCCTGTCTGGCTCTGCACTGTCCCGGCAGTCGCTTTGGCAAGTTCCCCTGATGCACGTCACGAGCAGAGGCTGCGCCTCTCAAAGATCGATCTGGAAGACCCGGGGGCGCACAAGCTTCAGGCAGCCACTTCGGCCGCGCTGCACCAACAGATCCTCGCCCGCAAGAGACCGTTTGTCCACATCCACTCAACGTTCCACAAACACTGAATCTGTCTACCCATGCGAGGTGGATACACACCCAGTAGATCAAAAGCAGAGTGATTCAGCACCCGGAGCTTGTTGCGACTTCCGAGGGAGTTGCTCGCCGAGCTGCGACTTCGTCTGGGCCCTTACCTCAGTTTCAGCTAGCCAAGCTTCTTCTCGCAATGCCATCATCACACTGAGAGTCCTGGGGCGATTCGCCAAGCCAACAATTTCAGAGGAATCTTTCTAGATGCCTTGGCGTGTAGTCAAAAAACTAGGTTTGTCTGGAATACGTAAGCAAGCCAGGAATTGGTTTCAGTTCTGTTGATCATGTTGGTCTCGCTCTGGTCCTGTCGAAATGCAGTCTTGTGGGGGCACAGCTCGCATCCGTAGTAAGAAGGACGCATTGATCGTGGGACGTCCAAGCCCGAACCTCAAACCTACAAAAGCCATGAAGCGATTGTAGGGTTGACGAACTGGTAGAATCGATGTTCATTGCTTTATAGTACAGAGCCATTTATATCTGATAGTTATTGTGGTAGCAGGTTTTCAGGGGATTAGTTAGCGCTGCATGTTTGAGGCTTCTTTCGTACTCGACGTTTCGGATCAAGAGCTGTGGAATTTCAATTTCTGTGCTTTCTAGAAAGCACCGCGACGGCGATAGGGTCGAGCGTGGCAAGGCCTTCTCCAGGTTGTAAGGTATCAGACCGGGCTCTTTGAGTCAAGCTTCGGGAAGACGATGTAGAGCACATGACCTGCGCAAGGGAGCTTCGGAGTGCTGCGACGCGACCTTCCACTTATGGACTGACTTCTCCTGTGAAGCATTGTCGGCCTCTCCTAAGGACAGCTGGACGGCTTGCAGAGGCACATTCTGCTGGAACTCGTTGTCTCGGCACTGCCGGACTCGCATGGCATGGGCATGTTTCAGAGTAGCTGCAATTCCTTCAGCCAGGGCCGTGCCAAAATAAGTGCAAACATGCTCAATCAGGCTGAGTCCTTGCTCGTTGCATCCTGGCAAATCAACTCTGTCCAGTGTCCCAAGAAAATCATATGCTGCGCAGCACAGAAGAACTCACTCAGTCCGTGAGTGCGGCCAGGGCCTGGACTGATGAAGCCGCTGCTGCTGCCGCCAGTCGAAGTCCCAGATAAGGGGGAACATGGAGAAGTAGCAGCTGAGCAGCTTCTTGATCGTTCAAGAATAGATATCAACCAATCGAGTGACCAACCCGCGCTCGTGAACGGCTCGGTTTCGGGTTTTCGGGGTTGAGTATTTCTTGCCGGAGGCATGGTGGAGATCGGAGAACATCAAGCTGACGAAGCCAGAGAAGGCACTTGCTGTCTGTGTGCCTGAGCGCGTTCTTCTCCACTCTCTATGGCCGTGGTAGTTGGCCGAGAGCTGCTTGCCAGATGCTCAAGCACTGGCATCGGCTTCGGCTTTGGTCCAAATGCTTGCAGAAAGCCCGCCGCTCGTACGCTTGTGTTGTTTTCACATGCTGTATACCGTTGCTGCTGGAGATCAGAACAGCTTATTCCGAGACGCATCGCACTGGGCTACCGAAGAACAGGTTGTGCAGAAAGAGGCCACTGAGCATATTCAGCGCCAATGAGAAAACTCGCAACAGCCTTTGCAAGTTGGGTAGGCAGACCTGCTCGACAGATCTACACTTGCTGCAAGGCTCTTTCCGCTCACAAGCTTGCAATTCCATGCATCAGAACTGGCATGCCAGGTCTTCCGAGGAAGCGCCAGGCCCACGTTCGGTTTACCTTCCATTGCCAAAGTTCTTCGAATCGAAGGCTCCAGCTTGCTGCATGAACACCGAAAGCTGCAGCGAGAGGTCGAGGCGAGTTAAGGGCTTGTGGCTTGCCTCCTGCCTCCTAACAGTCGGTTCGGGA